ACCACTCTGGGAGTGGTCTCGGCTTTCGGTAACTCTGCTCCTCCTTCGTCACACTGTAAATTTTGGCGCGTGGAAGAGAGAGCGGAGTGTAGGACTCGTATCTGCCTGTGTATGAGGCAAACCTGTCCTTCTTTAGGTCGCTGGCCGAAGATGGCTCCGAGGCCTTTGATTTTCCCTTTGCCTTATGGCCTTGGCCTTCAGACAAGGGTATTTGCCTCTGTTTCCCTCCCCCGGATTGAGGTTGGGTTTTTGCTTTATTCCATTCTTCGGCTCGGATGAACTTATCCGAAGCACTAAGAGCTTCCTCCAAGGTCTGCGGGGTATGCATGACCATGAAGTCTAGGAATTTTCCTGGCTGAAGGCCATTCTGCATTGCAAAAACAGCTAGCCCCTGGTCCAGCTGAGAGACGCTTGATGACTCGTTACTGAAACGGGTCAGGTAGTCTCGGAGGCTTTCGGTTTCCCCCTGTTGCAGACCCATGAGCTCTGCGGTAGTCTTTTCTCGGCGGTTTGCCGTGGAAAACTTGCTCCTGAACTTGGAGGACAGATCATCCCAACCTGTTATGGAGCCTTGCCTTACTCCCTTGGAGATCCACGCTTGCGCGACCCCCTTGAGAGTGGTTGGGAAATATTTGCACCAAGTCGCCTCGGATCTGGGGCAAAGATGCATATGAGTCTCATACGAGGCCACGTGGTCCTTCGGATCCGTGGTCCCGTCATATGTGATATGCGACGGTATTTTAACCGTGGGTACGCGCTCTTCCAGTATCCATTGCTCGAATGGTGAACTAGCGGGAAGCATAATGGCCTTGCCCTTGTTCCTGGCCGAAGGGACCGCGCTCCGCCCTCTTAGAGAGGTAGGAGTGGTTTTCGTCCCTGGCTGGGAAGTCTGGGCCTCGGCTGCAGGGAACGAGAGGCGACTACGCACGCTCGGTTCCTGGCCGCCGAGTCGGTCAAGGACGCTTCTGCGAGCAGTCTCGGGTTCCCGGCGAGTAGATTCTGGCCGAGAAGCTGAGCTGCCGCTCTTATGCGCTGCTGGTCTTGAGGATGAGGATCCTTTAAATAATTGAGAGTTCTTCTTCCTCTGTTTTTCATTTTTCCAAGAATCCTCCTCCCACTCTTCCAGTTCCCGGAAGGAAGGAAGCTTCCCACCGTCATGGTCTAACTTCCTCCGCTGATGCCGGGTATGCGGAGGAGTTCGATCACGAGGCGGTGGCATATTCTGTGCCCTCATTGCCTCCATGAGTACTGCCAGCGCTCTTGCCACCTCTTCCGAACTGGGCCCCGTCAAAGGGGTCCCCGGCCGAGTGTGGGCATGAGGCCGTGCAGCCGATGGTTGGCTTCGGGACACTGAATATGTCCTATGATCAGACTGACCCCTGCTAGACCGAGAGTGGTCCGGCCTATATTGAGAGTCATGCATTATAGGAGATAGGGAATCCTCCTTGTGTGATCCTCCCCCCGAGCCGGCACCCTTGGGAGAGTTCCGGTCCGGCGTGGGCGATGGTGTAGGGGTTTTAGGCTTTTCGCCCGCTCCTTGACGGAGGCTTTTGCTCTTGCGGTTCTTAGCCATGGCTGCTAAGATAATTGCAAGATGATCTTGGTTAGGAATTTGGTTTAAAGATTTTTGAAAGTCTTCCCCACAGACGGCGCCAAATTGTTTCGGTTGAAAACAATGGGACCTTGCCGAAGGTCCACTGAAATGGAGAAGACTGGATTCGATCCAAGCTGTGTTGGGCCGAAGGTTTCCTGCACAGTGAACACACGTAAACTTGCCTCGGGGGTGTTTCCGAGGAAGGCCCCTCCGATGCTAAAGTCAGTACAATGTGTAAAAAGGAAGACACTATGCAAGAGAGTTTGTAGCTTGAGGCTTTTGTGGAGTATTTCTCAATGCAAGAATGAGCATATCAATTGGAATAATCAGTGTATGAGATAATGTATGTGATAATGTGTCTGATCTCCCCCTGAATGTGTTAATATGAGGGCTTTTATACCTCATCATACTTGGAGAGGTTGGGCTTTAGCCCAATTGGCTTACTTTGTGGGCTGACTTTTGACTTTTGAGCAATTGGAGAGTTGAACCTTGACCTTGGGCTTTTAATTGGATCATTTAGTGCTCAGGCCCAATTTTGACTAAATTGGACCCAAACAGATACTAGTACTATTATCTAATTATTCCAAAAAATAAAATAAAAATGAAAGAGTATAAGAAACACTAAGCAATGGCTTGACATTGATCAGTTATGATACACTTCGGAGCCTTGTCGGACATGCATGTTAACCATGCATTAAATAACCATACAAAGTTATCAATCGCTTCTCCAGATAACAAGGCACAACCAAGAAGGATAGATTGACCATGATTATTAACTCTAATGAACGGAGTAAATGGCATTTTATATCTATTTGAGACATATGTCGTATCAAATGAGATTACATCCCCAAAATCTTTGCATGCTGCTCTACTCCTACCATCCGCCCAAAACACATTCTTTAGTGAACCACTCTCATCGATGTCATACATGTAAAAGAAATTTGAATTGCTTGATATCATTTCGGAGAAATGCCTCCTCATCGCAGCAAGGTCACCATGTTGTAAACTTAGTCTTCTAGTATTGCTCATCAAATTACGCCAATCCCTCTCATCAAAAGAAACATTATTATGGCCTCCATACTTGACTACAAATGAATTATAATTCTTTGCAATGGATTAGTTCTCTTATTTTGTTCACTAATGAATTTATAGTTCCGCATGAATTTGGAATTTTTGGGATCACAAGAGTGGTTATGCTCTAATTGAACTTTATTAAGCTTCCATAAACCGTCGGAACTAAGTGATGCATTTATTTTGAATTGACATCCCGTGACAGTTGATTTAGTTGCTTGTTGAGGATTATTTGATTTCGATTTAAACTTACCCTCTTTTGAACAAACTAACCTTAATCTCTTACAATCACTATAATCTTCTATATGTCGATTTCGTTCAATGCCTACATTCGTTGTCATAGTTCTTGGTTTTTCTATTCTCTCAGAGCTTCTAATTCTGATTTGAAACCCAACATAATGCCCATATTCATGACAATGGTTAATCACTTTCTTCGGCCGATCCAAAAACCATCCCAACATATGGAGTAATGACATTTTTTACACCATCATCACCCAAACCTTCATGCTCCACATTGTCCATGTCATTACCAATTTGTCCACCTTCACCATCTTCAAAATCAGAATTTGCACCATCTCCATCGTCAAAATTGTCTAAGTTTATATCAAACTCGTCATTAAATTCATCACAATCTTCTTCCACATCAACCACAACCTCATTCTTATCTTGTAGAATAGAGTAGTCAATATTTAATCAAAACCTTGTGGAGGGTCCATCTACATTATATACAATCATATATATTAGTTTTATTTAGTAAATATTAGTTTTAATAAATCATGTCCTATGCAATTAAAAAAAAAAAATCCCATATAACCGTTTACCAGAACTCATTAAGTAAGGTAAGATACTTTTAATTTATTAATTAGTGAATATTAGTTATAGAAAAAATATATATGGCAAAATCTTCCGGCTAATACTCCTAAACAAACGCCTAATTAACAATTATATGAATACTAAAATAAATCAAAATAATATCATACAAATTATATATTCTAAATATATAATATTTTTGTTATTATCTTAAAATAACTTAAAATATCCTAAATATTTTGACATAACCAATGTCATACTCTACGAATGTTACTACTAAATCAACAATAACAAAAATATATATATTACAGTATTCATTCTTTAAAAAAAACAAAAAAAAAAAAATTAAAGTGCATATAAGATAGAAACATCATCCGAGGGGTTTAGAGGAGGAATACTATTAAATACAATTATAATAAAAAGATACCCACATATATATGAACTGATGCATTGTCTATATAAAATAATAAAATCTTGATGCATTGACATGTATATAGTACATACCTGTGATAATCACTAGTTCATCCACATTAATCACAAACAATAACGATTGACAATTTAAAAGTAAGATACGATTGTATTTTTTTCTTCTTCTTTTGATTGATGCAACTATACAAATTATGAGAATAGAATAATGTTTCTTCATTTTTAAAATTTGTAACGTAAACAGAATTTGAATCAATTTAGTGTTTTAGATAAATTAGGAATCAATTCTTTTTTACATTAATCTAGTAAGATAATTAATTACCTAGGAATCAGTTCTTTTTTAAACTAGCAAAACTCCAACAGATTCTCCACCTAAGCTTCCACCTTGGTCCAACTCAGACTCCATGTCATTGAGTTAGTAACCCACAAGGTTAGCAGATCATGGAAATTTTGTCATAATTCACCTTTTAATATGCGTTTTTGTCATAAACAACCCTTTAATTTATATTTTATTTTATTTTTTGAAAAGAGACATGTTCCAATTTTTTATTTATTTTTTTTTTTGAAAAGAGACTTCAATTTTTTCTTTTTCTTTTTTGGTAAAATAGCACCTTATGCTCGATTCTAGCATTGAAGTCTTATTTTAGGTGGTTAACCACTCACATTCTAAAATCACCCATTTCCAACACATAACCACCGCATGTGCAACACCACTTGAACACCAACGCCGCCATTCTGAGATGAAAGAGGAGGCGCTGGTGTAACCATGGCAAAGAGAGTTAAATTGGAGTCAAAGCCGATATTTTGAGTAAAGTCTACAAATCGGTATAAGGTGGACTACTTTGCCAACAAAATAACATTTAAAAGGTGATTTTGACAAATGACAAATTTTCTAACACTTTGATTAACTTCTAACTTGACCTCCTATAAAATGAAATTTAATCCGAATAAAGGTAGATAGAATATACATATACATTTTGCTTAGTCTTAATACCTTTAGTCAATAGATTAACTCAATTGCAGCCTTGCAGGAAATTTTACAAAAAATAATAATAAAGACGTAAAACATTTTTATACTCCAATGTGAAAAATCATATAATTAATATAGGAAATTAAAACACTAGCAACTTATTATTCACCGAAATGAGAAAATTGCAATAGTTTAAGCTTTTAGAATAATGATCAGCAAAACATTCCTTGCAATAGTTCAAGCAAAAACCACCAAACTAAAAATCCCAAATTTATTTTACTCTATTTACATAATTTGAGGGATATAAACTAAACCAACCCTCTCCAAAAACCTTAGCTTAGCACCCTCAAACCTTTTCTAAGATTAGATGTACGGCTAGTTCTTGAGACGACGGAGAACTCGGGAGTAGAAGTCCCAGTTAGGATGATCTGGTCCTATAGCAGGCTGCCCAAAAGGGTTGGCTTTCACATAAGTTGGAACATCATCTTCTTCAGCATTTGCCAACCCTTCCAAGTACTTTCCTAGTTCCTCCTTCGGATCTACTCGTCAACAAAAAAAAGAATCGATCAATAAACCAACAATAATTAATTGTCACGTTCATAATGGAATTTAAATTAGCTCATGTCTCACCAAGAGCATTGTCATGGCTATCGCTTGGATCATACGTGTCGGGAAATATTCCAGTGTGTCCCTACAACAAAAGCCCCGAACAAAACAAAAAAAAATAAAAATTGTGTAATTTTAACATGTTAAAGAATATCGAATGAAAATAGTATACAATTGCAAGAGCAAGGAAGAATATTTACCAGATTACAAAGGCTTTTGACTGGGTCATCATCTATAAGCAAAGTGTTTGATTCTGAAAATCGCGCTCCTCTGCTAGAGTTAGCAAGATGTGAATGAAGTTTGCTCAATTCTTTCAAGAACAACGGTTTTCTTTTGTTCTCCAGAGCTTTGAATCCAGTATCAGTGGACTGCTTTTGGTCCTGTTATAAATTTTAGTGAATGTCGTACATTCATGTTATATCGTGCTCACATGTAGTACAAACTACAAAGTCAAAGGTGAATTATCACGTGAAAATTCCCTGTTTCTCACAGTGAGAATTAAAATTTGTTTCTCATGATAGCATTTTCGTGAACAAATCAAGAACTTTTTTATTATTGTGTCTCCAAAATGAATTAAGTTTGGTTTATTTACAAAAATGTCGTAAGAAACAAATTTTGTTTCTCATTACGAGAAATTGAGGCTCCCTCATTATCATGTCATGCCCAAACCTTCAATAAGTGTCAAATAATGCCAGTAACAGACCAATTCTCCTTCTGTTATTTTTCGTGATTTATACATTAAAAAAATATGGACTACCTTAGACCTTGTTAATTATACTGTGCATTAAATAAATAACAGACGAAGAAATATGTATAAAGTTTACAATTGACAAAAAAATCTTAAACAGTTGACAATCATTGAGAAATAGGAAAAACAAATGAAAGTTAAAGATGTTAGAAAAACAGAGATAGCATCATATATTAAGACTCACCCAGACAAACAAGAACCTGTTCTTCAATCCCTTGAAAGCGCAATCCAGAACCAAATCAACGTTTTGCCTAATATATCAATGAAAAAAGAATTATGAAATAAATCACACAAATAAAAAAAACTTACCTTATACAATTACTATTAATTTAAGGCAAAAGCTAACAAACATATCGAGGCGTTGGGTAAGATAATTAACAGTAGGAACATTAACTTGAAACAAACCTTAATTAAGCTAATCGACGCATGATTTTGACATACATTCCCAAATTAATACCATTTTAGGAAATATTTTAAAGGGTTATCCAATGCTCCGATGGTGTTTGTTAGCAAGGTTCTTAATTTAATACTCGTATGCATGCATGACTTACTCTTGAGCGGAAGACCATAAACCCACTTCAAATCTCTCAAGACAGAATTTCATGAACTCATAAAGGAAAGATCTCTTATAGACTGCCATATATAAAACCGAAAACAAATAAGATTACGGAATAACAATAATTAAGCTGATTAGAAATGTTGAATTTTATTGTAAAAATAAAAAAGAATGATAATCAAACCTAATTTGTTGCCATTATTATATACTCCATCAGGCCGACGATTTTCAGGAATTTTAGACTTGTCCCTTCTATGAGCTCGATGAATAAGCATACCATTAAGGCCAAACACGATGAGCTTGTTCTTTTTTGGACCAAGCTTGAGCTTCTCTATTGCAAGCTCAAGTGTTTGATCTTCATCATGTTCATTGTTATCGTCACTATCATCAGTGTAGTAACGATTATAACGTCCACCTTCATCATCAGAGGAATCAGATACCATATTAGCCTTAATTTGTTGAAATCTTACTCTATTTGATCAAAAGAAAGTTGATTTGTTTGTAAGGACTATTAAGTTTAATATAAAGAAAATGTCATGCATTTATATAGGAATTGGAGTTGGAGTGATTAATCTTTCTAGCTTCTAGTGAAGAACGTATAGGGACGATGAGTAGAAATAAACATTAATTATTTATTTTGGAAAATGAATTACGAGTAATTAGTATTGGAATAGGGAGAGACTCGATGGACCTAATCTACTATGGAGAACGGTGTAATCATTTATAAAAATCCTTCCTTATCATGTACCTAGTCCTATATTTGGGAATTAGACAATTAATTAAACATAACCTAAACCATTCATGCAACCTTGAATAAGATGGGTTTCGAACATTGCACGGTTAGTCGGTTATACAACATCTAATATATTTATCGCCTATAGCCTCTATGCAAATAGATGTAGGACATTAGGATCACTTGTAAAAATACTTCCCAAAATACTAGCCACATCGCGCGTGTCGAAACCCTTAGTCATGAGAAAAACACGATTATGCAAACTATTTAAGGGTTTGGTTTATCCAAAGTTAAAAACTTGACTAAATCTACTTGATAAATTATGTTACTAAGAGAGAGAGTTTACTTCACAAGTTTAAGGAGTTTCCACCTTATAATCATATAGCAATAGGAGAAATAAGTAAGTAACCCCTTGGTCTTTTTTTTATCGGATCACATGTGATGTTTTATAGGGCTAAAGTGAATTTTCATACTCCCCCTCATATAGACTCATTCAACTTGGTCCAGAATACATTATATCCATTAATGTCTCAAATCGTGAGTTTGACTCTAATTCTATGTTAAATACGGACCTAAGCTACACCCATCAATAAAAGAAATAATTCATTCCACAAGTCCAAAAAAGAATTCATCCTAAAATCGTTTGACAATAGAAGGAGCAATTAATTTAGTCCAATTTGACTTGAACGCCCTATATTTTTAAAATCGGGCCGGGCAATCTTTAGTGAAAGAGAAAGTATAACCCACGTTACCATGTAGTACCTAAGTTGCATGAGCTTAAAATAGATTTTGTCAAAAATGGATCCCTGTACAGAAATATGGTCCCACGTGTTAGGCTTAGAATGTTCTAGCAACACCGCATCCCTTCGCCTTTGTTCTCATCTCCTCTATTCCATTTTCCAAACCTTCCAGCATCTTCTACACTCCATTCTTTAACCCTCTATTAAAACACAACAACATTTCCCCAAACCAAAACAAACTAAAAAGTATCAAATACAAACATAACCTTCGAAAATTCATTTGTCCATTCACTCATCTAATTGCATCATAATATAATCTCAATCATTCAAACCAATCATCATCATCATCATGAAGCCAATAGCAGGGGACGACCCAATAATGCTCCGAACCAAACACCGCGACGAAGAAGGCAGAGTAGTGTCGGAGAAGATAGAATTGCACGCACACGACAAAGATACCCTTAAGCACATTGAGAAGAAACTCGTCGACACGGGTTTACACCGTCTCGAACGACACTCAGCTGACACCAAGGCGTCCGTGAAGAAACCCCCTCCTAAGAAGGGACACGGTGGGAAGTATACGTGGGAAGGGCCCGACCTCGAGGCCGATAACGAGCTCGAGGCCGAACCCGCTATCGATGAAGGTGATCCTAACTATGTTGATGAAGAAAAGGTTGTGGATGATGAGGAAGTGAAAGAGAGGGTCAAAGGTGAAGTTGAGGTGGCTAAGGTTGTTGAAGGTAAAGAAGGTGTTGCTAGAGTTGAGGTTGATCCTCAGCTTATTAATAATACTAGTGTTTGAGATTTTGTAATTATATACTAGTTTGTTTGTTTGATTTGCATGTTATGGGGTTTAATTAACTGCTTAATTTGGGTTAATCTCAATATTTTGTTGTTGTTTCTTTCTTTCTTTCTTTTTTTTTTTTTTTTTTTTTCTCTTTTAATTTGAAGTTTCAGCAGTTAAGTAAGCAGTTGTATCTTGGTGTGCTAATGTGATTACAAGAATATCAATTCAATTGCTGAAGCTTTTTTAATTAATCGACAATTTGTATTGTTGTTTAATTATCATGTAAAAAAAATGCTTAATTGGTACAATATCAATTCACAGTAGATATGGCAATCGGGCTGCTCGATGGATTCAGGTTAAATTAATTTGGACTAGTTCATGTCATCCTTGAGTAAGTGTGTGTAAGATTTATTTGAGTTGATTTCAAATCGGTTTGGGTTAGATCATTTTAATTTTTTTAAATAAATTAATGTTTTTTTTGGTCCAAATAAAAATTAGGTCTTGTGATTTTGGTTTGAGTTCAATTTTTCGGGGTGGATAATTGAGTATGGATAAAATTTGCTGGATTTCTTCTGGGATATGTTAACGAGCTCAAGTACTCTAAATTTGAGTTTGACTGGCATCATAAGCACCCTAGTTGAGTTTAAAGTTTACACTTAAAAATTGTATGACCCATGGCAGTTCAATTGATCATCAAACTGACCCAATGAAACCCCAGTCCAAACCAATATATTTATCTTCCAAGCCCAAATATGTTAGTGTCTGGCACAATTATTTTTTAAAATATTAAATTTTCATCAATTTACGTACTATACAAGTGGCTGTAATAATCGGCGACAATTTTCTAAATATGTGAAACTAATACAAGTATTCTAAATACTTCGTATTTGTTCATTTGGAGACGAATGATCAAGTTTTTGGAGGTTGTTCATTTGGAGATGAATGAACAAATTTTGGGTGCCTCCAAAAACTTTTATTTTCTTTCTTTAAAGGGTAATTTGTAAATTACTATCCAAAAATAAGACCAATATTGACATAACCACCCAAAATAAAATTATTTTTATTGAACCACCCTTTAAATTAATAAGCGCGCAGATTACCACCCATTTCTAAATTTCGGTGAAAATTCCGTCAGTGGGTTCTACTTTTTTTATTTATTTATTTTTCTTCTATTTTCTGGCTTTCTCACTCTCTCCCTGATTTTTTCACTCTTCTTCTTCCTACCTTCTTCCTTTCTTCTTCCTAACCACCACCACCACCACCACCATTGCTCCACCTTTCACACCACCTCTGGCAATTGTTAACCACAACACCACCACTGAAAACCGCCTATCCCAAACAACCGCGGAAACCACCCTACTCTAGCAGCCGCGAAAATCATTCCGCAAATCGCCTTTCATCCCCTTTTCCAGCAACACCGAAAACCACCCCTCCCCTTCCCCCCAACCCCCTCAAAAACCATCCCTTCCGTTCGCCAGCCCCCCATAATTGTTCTCATCCCCTTCCGTTCGCCACCGAATAGATGGCATGATTAATCAATCAATTAAAAATTCAAGTTACCCAAAAAAATTAATCTCTCAAAATCCCAGATTTTGTCGGGTATAAATTCATCCAAACAAGGAACAAGAAAGGGGATTTGGGGATAATTTGGAAGAGAAAAAATAACCAACAAAGAGAAATATTGAATCGGGGGTTTTCTTAAAATAGGAACCCTAATTTAAGAAAACCCGCAATTCAATTGAAGCATGAACCCTAAATCGACCCTTATTCTTTCGGTGGGGTTTGTTGAGGGCGGTGAGATGTGTGTGGAGGGCAGTGAAGTTGAAGGCGGTGGTCGGTGGGGTGTGTTGAGGGTGGTGGGGTAGATTGCAGTGGCTAAGAAGTATACAAAAATGGAGGAGAGAGAAAGTGGGGGAGATTGGGGTGAGGATTGAAGGTGGAAGAAGAAAGGAAGAAGGTAGGAAGAAGAAGAGTGAAAAAATCGGGGAGTGAGAGTAAGAAAGCCAGAAAATAGAAGAAAAAAAAAAGAAAAAAATAAAAAAAGTGCGGTCCTTTGACGAAATTTTCACCGGAATTTAGAAATGGGTGGTAATCTGCGCGCTTATTTAATTCAATGGGTGGTTAAATAAAAATAATTTTGTTTTGGGTGGTTATGTCAATATTGGTCTTATTTTTGGGTGGTAATTTACAAATTACCCTTCTTTAAATTATAATTTACTAGGGTGGTTAACGTGAGCGTAGCTAGTTATGTCTTATGAGTCCTTTAAGTTAATGGCAACATAATGAGAGAAAATAGGTAAACAAATATTTTTAGGGTATAAATGTTCACAAATTATTCTTTAGATTTTAAAAAAAACAAATAACTTTAATGAGGGTAAATAAGTATATAAACATTTTAGAGGGTAGTGTCCAAACACTATTCATAAGAGTTAAATCATTAAATCACAAAAAAAAAAAAAAAAAAAAAAAAACCCTTAGAACCAATTAACATCACAAGTTTAGAGGCGCATGAAATGCGTGCACAATTATCCCCCTCTTTATACTTCGTGCATAAACTTATCTTTATACTTTACCTATTTGCATAAATGGCATATGTATTGAAATAATTTTATTACTCCGTATATTTTATAATTAGTGAATGTAAGAATCCATTTAAGGGATGAGCTATTAAAGAAAATCATGCAAAACAATCCTAGATTTTACTTTTACACGAGCTTAATATATTTTTTTAAGCATTACATGGCTTAAATAAATTTCATTGTATTTATGTATCATTTAAATCATACATACTTATAAAATAAGTTTCAATATATTTATATCATTTAAATTATACATACTTGTAAAATATGTGCACAATATAATTATTCGTACTACTAATTAAATTATAGTATGTTGCTTTTATACTTACAAGTTTAGAGGTGCACGCATTGCGTGCACGACTTTCCCCCTCTTTATACTTCGTAAATAAAGTTATCTTTATACTTTACTTATTTGCATAAATGGCATATGTATTGACATAATTTTATTACTCCATATTTTTATAATTAGTAAATGTAAGAATCCATTTAAGGGATGAGCTATTAAAGAAAACCATGCAAAACAATCCTAGATTCTACTTTTACACGAGCTTAAATTTTATTTTATTTTTTCTAAGCATTACATGGCTTAAATAAATTTCATTGTATTTATGTATCATTTAAATCATACATACTTGTAAAATAAGTTTCAATATATTTATATCAATTAAATTATACATACTTGTAAAATATGTGCACAATATAAATATTCGTACTACTAATTAAATTATACTATGTTGCTTTTATACTTATATAAAAGTTGAAAAATCATATGCAAAATTACAAACACTGACTTTTAAAACACCAAGTGTCAAATTTATATCATCAAAATAAATATTCCCAAATTAAACTAATGTACAGTCTAACATAACTACACTTGAAGGAATTTTTTGATTTGAGAAAAAATAACCACCATAAGAGAAGTTATCTTTCTAATTTTATGGAGCAGTTAAAAATGGAAGTTCCGATCCTATAAAAAAACAAAAAAAAATGGAAGTTATTTTTTAAGGTTAAACTTTAAATAAATTTTAATTTATTTAATTTTAGTAAATTTTTTTAGAGAGGGTAAAATGGTCCACTCAAAAATTTCCGACTAAAAACACCTCTTCTCTTTATATATTACATAGATATTAATAGGGGCATATACGTAAACAAACATCAATAACATAATACTAAAACAGACACCAAGATGACATGTGTCACTTCTTGGTACTGTTTATTCCCTCCAAAACTCCCCCTCCCTTTTTGGGAAAAATATTTTTTTTTTGGAATATTTGTATAATACAGCTATAATAGTATATTATTGCTAATCTTATATATTATCTTTATAATAAGTGTATTCCTTTTTATTTCGTGTTCTATTAACTTAAAATAGTTACACAAGATTTTGAGACCTTTTAATTAAGGGAGAATAAGCTATAATTTAGAAGGTTGAAATATATATAGTGGAAAGTATACAATTCCGGAGCCAAAAATACAATATTAACATTTACACTACAAGAAAAATACCTTTTCGTAGCGATTATTTTAACATTTCATATAGATTGTAATTGCTACAAAAAAAAAAAAAAAAAAAAAAAAAAAAACCCAACGAATGGTTATTCGATACAATATCCGCCATTTCCATAGCCTTTAGTAGTGTTTTTCGCTTTCGCTAGGGTTGTCCTTATTAATCGATACGGAAAACAACATTCAATCATGGTGATTATTGTAGCGATTATAATCTCTACAAATGTTGAACTCAAATTTTCTAAAAAAATAAAAAATAAAAAAATCCCTACATATGATCTATACAAGATTCGAACATGCAACCTCAAACTTAAATATTAAATGTTTATCCAAGAAGCTATGACATATTTTATGTTCTCTTTATCAAACAAAATTTTAAAATCTAGTATAAAAAAAGCTTTTCGTATCGATATTTGGGTTTTTAGTGGCGATTGTAAATGATACGCTTTTCCATAATTTTATAAATGTGCATAAAAATGGTGAATAAATATTATTACGTTTTTTGTATCAATTTCATATGGATTTACTATGTCAATTGTAAAATGATATGGATTCCACTACTATTTCACAAACATATGTGCATATTGTAGTGAATGTAAAATCGCTACGAAATAGTCGCTTTCTTGTATTGTTAAATTACCATTATATAGTTGTACAATAGTGGGGTTCAATGAAAATGAAAAAAAAAAAAAAAAAAAAAAAGACAATTCTATTCATGGTGTTGATTTGAAATCTTATGAAATAAAAATAATTTTTTTTTGGTATTCCACCCAATTCATCCTTTGGGCTAATCCGAATTCGAGGCTCAGTTCTGAGTGGTTAGGTTCCAGTCCCCTCCTAATTGTTGTTACGGGGGATCGAACACGCGGTCCTCCCTACCAAGTGCAACCTCAATCACCACTACACCAACAACCAATTGGTAGGTTTCTGTAATAATTTTACAACTTATAACTTTTTTTTCCCTCAATAAATCTATTAACTATTATTAAAAGAGATCATGCTTACATCCATCATTTTGGACCTATGTCAAGCTATCATTAAAAAAAATTAACCAATATAATATAGGAAAAATTGCTTTAAATAATACAAAATTTAGCCCGTCCGCTAAAAACAAGTCGACCTTTTGATTATCCCAGAATAATACCACCTTTGGGGGGTGTCCGCTTTAAA